TACATCTGCTTCGCTGTTTTTCCAGGAAATCTATTTGGTATTCACTGAAGAAGGGGCCTGAATTTGTTGCAAAGAGAAAAACATTGGCAACCGATGTGACACGAGAACATCTCAAGAGGTAATTTGATGTCACTTCTCTTGAGCTAATTTCAGAAATTGAGCAGGAAACCTCTGCTTGTTGACTATAAACTATAATGTACCATGAGCAATTGAACACTACATGGAAGAATCCTCAATGCCTTTTCTATTCTAAATAGCCCAGCTGTACTTATCCTACCTGTCAAAGACTATGCTAAACTTAGTGTCACGTTAAAAATCAACCTTTAAAATGATAAAACCTATTATGTGTGTACCTATTAGTGCATACAGTAACAGATTTATGATATATTTTCCTTTAAAATGGTTTTTCTTTCCTTAAGTGGCGACTGGAAGGATCTGGAATTTAAAGATTATAACTATGGAGCTCAAGGACAACCTATTGCGATAGGATATAGCCAACCGTTGTTAGAGGTACTTCTAATCTGTACAGTGTTCCATTTTTTCATACAGCTTTATATGATAAACCAGATAACTCAGAACTGTTATTTGGTGGATTTTCTTCAGGTCCGTGAGGCAATCCAGAACATTTTTCTCGAGATGGGGTAAATAAGAACATTTTAGTCATGATATTTGCAGTGCAAGGCAATATTTGGAAAATGGATTAATTAATTTTATTGATGTAACAGGTTCAGTGAGATGCCAACGAACATGTATGTAGAGAGCAGGTAAAACACAAAATAAGACGAGATATTGTTTTCCCTTTTCTTTTCTCATACCTGTTTGTAGTCAATTTCTTGTACTGGTAGATCTTCTCTACAAAATTGAAGTTATTTTAGAATTTAGGAGTGATAGGTCGCCAACACCATATGACTATATGACAAGACAATGTAGTTATGAGCATATCACTGTTTCCTAGATATAGATCCATATATTTCTGACATTATGTATTGTTGCCTTCCTTTGGTAGCTTCTGGAATTTTGATGCACTGTTCCAGCCACAACAGCATCCTGCTCGTGATTCACACGATACCTTTTTCCTCAAAGGTAAAGGTTATGTTACTGTTGTTGAGCCAACAGTTGGATTTAAACATATTTAATCAATCGACTTTTTTGCAGCCCCTGCTACAACAACACAATTACCTGATGACTATCTTGAGAAAGTAAAGCAAGTACATCAGTCTGGTGGTCATGGCTCCAAAGGGTATGTTCTGGTGTCTTTGCTGCAGTTTAGCCAGAGAGTTTATAATTTGAGGTTGCTGTCTGCAGATATGGTTACGATTGGAAGCGAGATGAAGCAGAGAAAAACCTGCTTCGTACTCACACAACTGCAGTTTCAACAAGGATGCTATACAAGCTAGCACAGGAGGTAAAGCAACTAAGTGATGCTTATTTTATCTGTTTGTAATTCCATTGTAACTTATATTGTCTTAGTTTGCCTAAATTAATGGAGGTGATATCAATTTGTTTACTCTGTTCTGTTGAACGATTCATGAGATTTCTTTTCTTTGATAAACCACCATGGGTTGTTCAGAAAACTTTTGCTCCTAAGAGATACTATTCTATTGATCGTGTTTTCCGGAATGAAGCTGTGGACCGAACTCATCTTGCAGAATTCCACCAGATAGAAGGTAACCGTTCTCTTGTTTCTTGCCTATGTGGTGTTAACTTGATTGATATTTTGTACATATCGTAGATGTCACACACATAACCCTTTTAACAAGGAAGCTACTTACAATACTTCTGATTTCAGGTCTTATTTGTGATTATGGTTTGACGCTTGGTGATCTGATAGGTGTATTGGAGGATTTCTTCTCCAGACTAGGTGCTAAGCCAAAGCCATTGACTTTGTTATACTCCCTCCGATCCATAATAAGTGTCGCAGTTTTGAACTAAGGTTGAACTAACCTTAGTACAAAACCGCGGCACTTACTTTGGATCGGAGGGAGTAGTATTTATGGATCTTGCTATTAAATTCGTAAAAACTGTACTGTCATATGTTGTTATTCAGTTATTCCAAGAATATTGGTGCTCCATGCCCATCTGCATAATGTGCATTAGGCATGTCTTTAATATTCTTGTCTTGTATCTGCTATCTCCAGTACATAGAGATCTAATAATGCCACCTCTCCTCTCCTTTTCTGGCTCTTAGGCATGTCAAAGCTGCGTTTCAAACCTGCCTACAACCCGTACACTGAACCAAGCATGGAAATTTTCAGGTCAGAACAAGTTTGATTGCTATTGTTTTCATGATTATTGTGACCCCATGAATCATTATTATGTTTATTATTTTTTCAGCTACCACGATGGTCTGAAGAAATGGGTGGAAATAGGCAACTCAGGCATGTTCAGGCCGGAAATGTTACTTCCCATGGGACTGCCAGAGGGTGTTAATGTTATCGCATGGGGTCTTTCGCTTGAAAGGTAAAACTGGCATATTTTCAATATGAATGATTCCTTTATGTGCATCTATATGTTGAATTGATGTCTTTTTCTCAAAAAAAAAAAACACCTCCGCAATCCTTGTTTTTCAACTAATATCTCGAATAGAAGCGCAAGGAAAACCAAATGATAGCAGATCCTGATTGGACACGAGAAATCTTTGCTTTATCTATGGATTGCAAAGAAATCTGTGCTGACCACATTTTGCTGCTGAATGCAGGCCAACAATGATTCTGTATGGGATTGACAACATACGTGATCTCTTTGGGCCAAAGGTATGTGCTTATTAACTTTGTCTTGTCCATGAGCCTGTGCTAATATGAATTATGATCTTTACAGGTCGACTTCAATCTGATCAAGAGCAGCCCGATTTGCCGCTTGGGGCTGTAGTGTGGTGAGCTTGATAGAACTTTATCTGGATGTCTGGATGCGAAGGATGTTTATTTGTGGTTATACCTTTGAAAACCAGTACTTGTGCATTTAACAGAGGGAGTGCAGAAATACACACATGTAGCTCTGAATTGCAATTTTGAGGTGTTCATGTTCGATACAAGTAGTGTCTTGCATTTCTATGCAGTCTCCGTCTTGTGTTGCGTGTCTTGTGGTTCACACGACCCTCCACGCAAGCGCATATCCTACACACGGTTGGAAAAGAAAGGAATCAAGGGCTTCCAAGCATAATTTTCATCTTATTTATCTCCCATGTCATTTTGAAGCCCGTCCTGTCCATTTCCAACCACGGCCAACTGTGTGGACTTACAACATCGAAGGCAAAAGATTTGCCTCATCTAACTAAGAGAGAAATCTGTTTGTGCTACAACACACCGATATTTCAAATGGGCATTACTCTCTTTGATTGAACCCAACTTTTTGTCGCCCATGGTGACTCAGACTGTCGCCTTAGTTTTGATGTTGTGGAGGAGGATTGCTAGAGGGGCACTCTTTTAGCGAAAGACACGTGCATTTCTGCTCTCATTTCAAATGATTGATGACGTGAGCATGGCGAGCGTGGCCATCACCTTGTGGTTTGGGGTGTTGGTGTCGGAGAGTCCAATCCACCAATCTTTGGCGGAGCGGATAAAGTCTCAAGATGAGGTGTCTAGATGCCTAAGTAGTAGCCACTCCTTGATCATGTCCCAAAGCCTAATATCGACACTTGCAGAAAAGGTGGTCAGCGGATTCTTTATTGCGCTTGCATAGGGGACAATTGCAACAATTTGACCATCCACGTTTGGCCAACCGATCTGTGGTCCAAATCCTATTTTGCATGGGAAGCCAAGCGAAGAATTTAATATTGAGAGGCGCTCAAGCCTCCCAAACCGCGTGCTTCATTGGAAAACGAATGGTGCCGTGGAATTGGACTTTCTAGGCGAAAGCCGCCGAGTAGAATCCATTGGCGGTGTGCTTCCACACAATGTGGTCTTCGACATCCACATTGAGCTGGAAGCTACACAACGTGGCCCAAAAAGTAACGAATTTGTGGGAGTGGGCAAACGTGAAGTTTGAGGATATCTTGATTTCGAAGATCCAAGCATCATCTCTCTGAGCATTTTTAACATTTCAATTTATCCGCGACGAGGCCTTGAAAATTGGGGACGCAATGTTCTTGGGTTTGCGGTCATGCACCCAAAGATCGTCCCAAGGAACATCATAGTGAACTCACTACTTATCCTCGGTGGCCATTCAGGCTGCAAGTTGGAGCGGGCTCTCCAAGGCACCATTGTTACACTGACACTTTACACATGCCATAACAAGCATCTGCAAAAGAAGTACAGAGGATGCCAAAGTGTTCACAAATGCACCGGCGCCGACATATATTCCGAAAAGATAGTAAAGAAATTAAAAAAAAATCTGTTTTTTCTTGGATGAATATCAACAAGTTTTCTATCATCTTGCAAAATTTCCACGGCTTGTTTTGAATGCATAAGGCAGATAATGGTCTGCCTTTTCCTTAAAAAAACATCTTGCAAAATTTCACCATGAAAAGACATCTGTAGAGGTGTGTCCAAAAAACAAAAATGGGTACTCCAAAATACGTCTTTTTTTTGCACAGGCCTCCACGCATGTCATCCGCAAAAAAAAAAAATTCAGATTTTTTTGTTTTTGTTTACTATTTTTTAAAATTATTTTACTGTTCATAAGAGTGTATTTGAGCTGGGGAGCAGATAATTAGTAATGGTACTATAACCTGGCCTTCACCTCTTGTACATGCAAATACACATACAGACGACAACAGCTAGCAAGTTCAGCTAGTCCAATTCAAGTGTTGATCGATCAAACTTTTATCATGATACAACACCAGCAACAGCTACTAAAGTTCAGATGCCTAGCCCGCACAGTTGCCCGCGCAACGATGATGCGGGCATACTGCCACACCTAGTCCTGCTTACACCCTGAGTGGCCAGTCCAGCAGACTGATTCAGAAGTCCAAGTTGCCATGTTTTCCTTGTAGACTCGACCTATTCCTCCTCTCCGCTCGTTTGCCTTGCTGCTCGCCACTACCATCAGCTCCAGCACCGACTTTAGCGGTTCTCCCTATGCCTAGTTTTGGCAGGCCTCGGTTCAGTCCATCTAGCAGGACGCACGCTTTGCATAATTTCTACAGAAGCCAAGATTTTCATCCAATATTGAGTCCGTAAAAGCATTGGAAAAGTTCAAAGGTAGCAAGACCAGGGCAAATACTTGGATAAAATGTCCAACATGTGAGCTCACAAAAATACTTGTCATTCTATAACCAATTGATCAACTTATTTTTAACTGTACTAGCGAAAGAATCATTTATGTGGTTATCTTGAGCCAAGAGACTCTAGAGGGGCAAGCTTTCACGCTAGATGTTAAAGCACAATACCTGGCTAGAAATGTAACCGCAGCGTTCACATGTTCCTTGCTCTGGCATTCTTGTTGTTGTGGATATCCGGAAATTTTCGCCAGAGGTTATGATGTCCAGTATAGCTCTAGGCCTGCACCACTCACAAGGTACTGATTCAAGTGACTGAAACAAGACAATGATACACATAATGTGTTGAACAAGGAAAAGAAACAGAGCTAGCATACACTAACAGATGAAGAAATAATCCTACTTTTGGACAGCAGAAGTCTTTACCTCATCCTTTCCAGATCTTTAATAAATTCACGAGCAAATCCACGATATGCATTTGGTGAATAGATGCCTGAATTGTGATAGATAACCAATAAGCATATTTGATTTCAATAGAAGATGAAAACAGTGTCAACAAAATTCTATAAGTACCCCTCCAAGTATGTTAATGACTATCAAATGTTAGGCACTGATTGTTCGAAGCTTATATTTTGATTATATATTAACCGTCCCTGGTATCTTGAGATAATGGAACGGGGAGCTACTGTTTAACTACAGAGAGAACAAAACTGCATAACAAATGAAGCAGGAATTACATTCAGTGGAGAAGTAGTCCAGCTTTTTGAAATACGCATACGTGTCATACAGTCAAGGATCAAAATTATTATCAGCGCATGTTTTATGGACAAAGCATAATAAGTTAATAAAAAAATAAAACTGATTAAAAATGTTTCATGTAAAGGATATATAACAATCTCTTTTTCGTAGGTGTATTTGAAAGGCTTGCATCTTGGGATTGGTCCATCTTCACCAGTAGTTATGAAAGTGCATCGACTTAACCTATATAAGATAAAAGCATAATGCCAGCACAAAAATTATAAAAGAGAAAAGATAAAAAATAGCATACTTTATTTATTAACCAACATTTACCTTGCAATATCACCACGTAAAATATTCAGCAAGACAGTCTCTGCAATGTCATCTGCATTATGCCCAGTTACAATCTTATCAACCTTCAAGAGAGCAGCACCTCGGTCTAGTGCCTAATAAGAATGGAATTGTTCAAAAATTAATGAGCATGCAATTGCCTTACAGATAAAGGTAGGTAGTAGGAGGTACCTGACGTCGAAAAACACCACAGAAAGTGCAATTGTTTTTCAGGCCAATTGCTTTCACAATATCATCCATCGTCCAGTCATAGAGATCCTTGTAGGAAACTATTTTCAGTGGTAGGCCATACTGCAGTAGGTGAATTGTACGGAAGAATTAGCAACACATGAATATGCATTTAAATGGGTTAGTTTGATGAACTAGATGCCTGCCAAAATTAGAACAAAAAAAAAACACAAAGAAGTAAAAAGTTGCAACAGAATTATGTGTATCGGGTAAGGGGGAGGAACCTGTAGTTCATTCCTTTTAACAGTTTCTAGGGAGTCATCTCTATAGCCTGTGATTCCTTCATCAATAGATAAAAGGAACAAATCGAGATCATATTTATGACGTTTGTTTAACTCTGATAACACATATGCAAGCACGGTTGAATCTGCATAACAGTAAAAAGATTGTTATACTACAAATCAAGATAGATAAGCAAGCATTTCCACAATAAGCTGAAGAACATTTGCAATCATATTTTTTCTAGCGGGTATATCATATTTATGAAACAGCCATATATGATCCGTTATCATCGCCCATGACTACCTATATTTTAATAACTTGAATAATAGACCGTCTTGATTTAAAACCTTTATCTCTGCTGCAACGACGAGAAGGTTGAACAAACATTTTGATAACACACTCTAATACAAGGCTCTCAAGGAGTCAATGACACCTTGAGTATTGGCCATACAAGTGATCAACAAGAGCCGGTACTAAAGTGTTTATCACTGAATGAGTAGCGAATATGAAACACATGCATTGCATAAAAATCATCTATCGCGTTGATATTTATACAACACAAGTCTGCACATACCTTTTCCACCAGAAGCTCCAATTGCCACACGTTCACCGGCTTTAAACAAATTATTGTCAACAATAGTTTGATGAATCTCGTCCTCGAAGACAATATAGAAGCATTCCCTACATATCTGAAAGCAAATATCAGAGACACCTCTGTAGGCTACAGAAAAGTGAAAACAGCTCACAGTACTCCTAGACACCTAGCATGGTTGGAACTTCACAAGATCAAGCAGCAAAGAGTACCCAAAGTTTTAGGTAGATACACAAAAGGGGCATCTTTTGTTCTTACCCACTTCCTAAAACTACAGTAATCAAGTGAACTCATATGAAGCTACAGCTAAACCATAGGCGCCCGGTTGCTGGAATCCTAAAGAAGGAAGCCGGCGAGGCTCACCTGTTCTAGGGTTTTGGGCCGCTTGAGCGCGGCCTTCCGCTCGCCGCAGCGCGTGCAGAGGCGGCTCCCTGCCCTCGTCGGAGCGGCGGCGGACTGCATGGGCTCCTGGATGCGTCTTATCCCCACGCGAGTCGGTGGAGGGTAGGGACTAGGGAGACGGCGAGGACACCTGCGGGGTAGAGTAGCCGTGCTTCGGCAGGAGGAGGAGCAGAGGCTGCTTTCCGGGACGCCGGCGAAGGGGTTTCGAAGGCGTCACGGCGCTGGGGGGCGGACGAACAGGAGGAGGAGGAGCAGGCAGTCTGGTGGGTCAAGGCTGGCCCAGATTAGGCGGGCTAGTATTGGGCCGGCCTGGGAAGAGGCGCGGCTCTGTGGGATTGCTACTGCGAAATACTAATCGAGGGATGCTCAAAAAAAAAACTAATCGAGGAGTACTCCTCGCAAGTTTCAAAAAAAAAAAAGTACTCCTCGCAAAAGATCACTCTCACCTTTCCTGTGCCACGCAAGCACCGGATACGTCCGCGTACGGGGATAATGACTATATTTGAACAACCTCACAAGTTTAGCAACCACAAACATGTATTTTGCAATTTTATGCACCAAAGTGATCGTCGCGTGCAAGTTTTAAAACCTTAGGTGTATTTACCTCATTTGTTTTCTTTCGTTTTTGTTGACTGTTTCGATTCGTTTAGGAAGAACTCTGTTTCAATGGAAAAGAGCTTGTTGAATAAAAACAAGAAAACACCTTGTTTAGTGACTTACTATTTTGATGGAATCTTTTTAGCGACGGGACTGTTTCGTTTCGTTAAACTTCTTTAGCGACTGGACTATTTCGATGAAAAATTCAAATTTTCTTCAAATACCTCGTGCTTACAAGTTATCTAGTGTAGCTGGGAAAAGACCTAGGTGTGACACATAAAATCAAAAACAAGAAAACACTGCCACTAGTATAGTCTTTAGAAATTTTTTTGATCTATGTGAAAGAAGGTTCAATTGCTTGATCACTGAAAAAATGTGGCTGGTATCTTAAAGTAAAAATTGTTCAAAGACTTTTTAAATAGTTTGTGGAATTGAAAAGGTTCATCTATTTTAAAAATATTTTACAAATTCCAAAATAGTTCACAATTTTTGAGAAAAAAGTTCACGGATATAAAAAAAAGTTCATCAAATTCAAAAAGGGTTCATCAATTTTCAGAAAGACTTCATCAAAATTTTCACAAAGTTCATCGAAATTTTAAAAAAAATCATCGAATTTCATAAAAGAACATCAATTTTGAAAGAAATTCATCGAATATGAAAAAATGTTCATCAAACTAGAAAGAAAGGTTCACGAATGAAAAAAAATGAGTGTTAAAAAAACTAAAAACAATAATCAGCAAAGGAAAAGAAAAAAAAAACGAACTGAAGAATGAAATAAAAGAAAAAAAGCGAAGTAGTTCTTCATGAGCGGGTGAGTGGCCCGATGGTTGTTGTTATACTTGGCCATCGGCAGCCCGGCCCGAAAGAGCCTGACCCAACCTGACTCGACCTTGCCCACGGGTCAGGCCTGTGCCTAGATTTTGAGCCCGATGGGCGAGCCAGGCCGAGCTTGGGCCTGTCGTATTTGTAGTTTAAGGAAGAGGCCCGACAGGCTTTTGTCTCATGGGCCGGCCTTGGGCTTGATTTTTAGGCCCAACGGCCGTGTCGGGCCGGGATCAGGCCTAGGTTTTCTGTGTCGGGCTTTGGTAGGCCTGGTCCGACAGATGGCCAGGTATAGTTGCTGCACATTCCTTGGAATGGTGAGGTTGGTTGCTCAATACCGCCAACAAGCATCTTTTTGGGAGTTTTAAACGAAAAGGAAGAACATATATGGTCCGGCCCAAAGGGAGTGGGTGTTGTGCGCCCGTTTGCAGTTTACACTGTAACGGGCGCCTGCTACGTGGAATAGGAATTGCTCAAATCCTATTTGGCGCCTTTAGTGGCCAAACCCTATTTGGCGCCTTCTGCGCCTGATATAGTGTTAATGGCACAGGGTGCACACCCCCTTGTCCACGTTGGGCCGGCCTATTTTCCTTTTTTTGGTTTAAAGATGCAAAATACATCACGTGCCCCTGGTTCAACCTTCGCTACCCTAACCAACTGGCCACATGCGCTTTCGGTGTTTAGTTACATGTTTTTCCCTCTTTTCTTCTTTCTTTTTTGCTGGAATGTTTTTTTATTTTTTTCTATTTTTATTCATTTCCATTTTAGCCTTTTGTTAATCTTTCTTTTATAATACATGAATTTTTGTTTCAAATTAATGAACCTTATTCTAATTTCATGAACTTTTTTCAAATTCGATGAACTTTTTGTCAAAGCCGATAAACTTTTTTCCAAATTTGATGAACTTTTTTCAAAACCCATGAACTTTTTTTAAAATTCAATGAACTTTTTTTAAATCCAGTGAACTTTTTTCAAACCTGATGAACTTTTTCCATAATCAATTATTTTTTTGGATGCGATAAACTTTTTCCATATTCGACGCACTTTTTTTCGAATTTGATTAACTTCTATAAAATTTGACGAACTTTTTTCAAATTCAACAAACTTTTTTTCAAATTTTATGAACTTTTTTGAATTTTGAAGACTTTTTTTCAAATTCGATGAACTTTTTGAAAATTCGACGAACTTTTATCAGAATCGATGAACTTTTTCCTAACAACAAGAATACATATTGCATCCAACTGGTTGTTTCTTTTCCTAAGAAAATGAGTATGCACTGTAGCAATTTAGCAATAGAAAAAACAATCAAGCGGGAGCCAGCCAGCGATCGAGTGAGCGGCGGGGGCCAACGAGGGGGCGAGCGAGCGGCAGAAGCCAGCTGCAAGCGAGCGTTGCTGGGCCAAAGACCAGTCAAGCGACGCAGCGGGCGCTGCATTCACCAACGGGAAGGAGGAGGTCTCCGTTTAGAGCCCGATACTATTGATTTTACTAATGGGCGCACACCTCCTCATCACGTTTGGGCCGACCCATCTTGGCTTTTTTTTCTTCTATTTTTGAAACTGCAAAAAGTGTGCGAGAGCCGAAATTCAATCCCGTGACAAGCTACGTTAGTGTAGGACAAGACAACCACCAGAACACTTCACTTGTTGTGATTATTAACATGTTTTTGTATTCTCTCTTTCGTTTTTTTCTTTTTTCTGTCCCTTTTTCTTTCTTTTTCAAATTCGAGAAACTTTCTTTCTTCATGATTTTATTCTGCAAAATCGATGAACTTTTCTTTTAAAATTGACAATTTATTTTTTTCAATTTTGATGATTTTTTTTTCAAATTTGATGAACTTTTCATCAAGTTTCAATGAGCTTTTTCAAATTGGATGTTTCTTTAAATTCCATGTTTTTTTAAATTTCAGTGAACTTTTTTCAAATTTGATAATTTTTTTCTTCAGATTTCGATGATCTTCTTTCAAATTTAATGAACTTTTCCAAATTGGATGATCTTTTTTTCAAATTTCACTGAACTTCAAATTCAATGAACTTTTTTCAAATTGGATGAACTTTTTTTCAAATTCAATGAACTTTTTTCAAATTCGATGTACTTTTTCCAAATTTTGTGAAATGTGTTTCAGAATCAATGAACCTTTTTTAGAATTGATGAAAATTTCAAATTTGTGAAATGTTTTCAAATCCAAAATTTTTTAGATCCATGTTTTAAGGCTTGTGAATGAAGGGACGAACACCAAAAATAATGAAGGGACAAATGAAACACACACTTGGGTCGAACAAAGGGAAGGGAGCAAGCGTGCTAGCTAGGCCAGCTCACGCGAGGTTTGCTGCGAGCGCCGGCTAAGCGAACAGCCCCCTAAGGCGCCGAAGAAGAGGTCTCATATATATATGAATATCATAGGAATAGGAAAATCATATGATCTTCTAAAAAAAGAAAAATCATACGATCTTCTAAAAAAAGGAAAATCATAGAAAGTGATATGACATTCATCTCAATTCGTGCAGGGAAAGAGATGTCATTTGATGCATAAGATATGCATTTTTTCATTCAATCTAGATTAATGTTTTTTCAGGAAAGAGATGTCATTTGATGTATAAGATATGCATTTTTTTCATTCAATCTAGGTTAATGTTTTTTTCCTTTGACATGTGATGGATTGGTTTCTATCATACATAGTAATAGGAATCCATTCCTATAAACCATAGGGCTTGAAGGAATTTTTTTCTTTGAAAATCCTACCCTATATAATTCATACAATATTCCTACAAACCAAAGGAGGCCTTAACTTTTCAAAATGCTACCTTCAATAGATTATTTTTACATGTATATAAAACTACCGATCTATTCATCAACTGTCATGGTAGTAAGCCTATTACTCCCTCCGTTCCCCTAGGTGTTTTCTAGGGTTCCCCTTATCCTGTGGCGATGCCACCAGAGTTCCACATCTACTGCTTTGGTTCGCTGGAGTGGCACACAAGAGTTCATTGGAAGGACCCGGGGCCATCTCCGCAGGTGACGTCGACGCTGTTGGTTGGACTGTATGGCTGGAAAAGAGAACGGAGGCCCGATGGCGGCCATTGCATCAAGTGGTGGCGACGAAAGTAATTTTTGAGATCAAGAGAAGAATTTAGAGGACAAATTTGGGAACCTGAACATGACATTCAACCCGCATATCTCAAAACATGGGGACATGCTAGCGAAATTATGATTAACAACCAAACTGATGTTAGGCATACTAAGCAGGATGTTAAGGTGGGAAACATAAAGTTTCGGAATTACGGAGGATGCTCATCGAAGGAAAGGCACATGATTATACATGGCCCGTGTGATGAGGAGATTGTGGAATCCGAAAAGGTGGACCTCCAAGTCAACTTGACAAACGCTCTGCCAAGGTATATGATGACCCACAAGTATATGGGGTCAATTGTAGCCTTCTCAATAAGTAAGAGTGTCGAACCCAACGAGGAGTAGAAGGAAATCACAAGTGGTTTTCAGCAAGGTATTGTCTGCAAGTGCTAAAATTGTAAGTAGCGGAGTAGTTTGATAACAAGATAATTTGTAACGAGCAAGTAACGATAGTAGTAACAAAAGTGCAGCAAGGTAGCCCAATCCTTTTGAGGCAAAGGACAGGCCAAAAC